GTTAGCCGATTCGCTATTTCTACGCTTTATAAGGAGATCGAGTCTTATATCGCTAACTACTTAATATACGCTACTAATTAGACTAATCGCTAACGTCCGCTCGGTAAAATATTACTAATTATAACTCCTCTTATTCTCTTCTATACTATTATTATAGACTTCATTATTAGACTACCCGAGGTACCCTTAGCCGGTTCTTCTTAGTAAAAAGAGGGGCTTTATTTAACTCCCTCCTTATAGTAATAGATAAGTTTATAAAGGCTACTCTTCTTATCTCTTGCTATAGCACCTACATAGCCAAGAACTAGGCTTATATCCCCTTTTAATTGCTTTAACTAGGGAATTAGGGTATCCCTAAAAATATTATCTCGGATCGTGATCTAAAATTCCTATTAGCGTTCTAGACGGTACTTTAGAAGGAGGCGGGCACGCTATCTAAGTTCTTTATAGTATAGTATCCGTAAATAGACGGCCTATTAGAATAAAAGTAAACCGTTAAGATTATTATCCGTATATTCATTATTACTTACTTGGATATCCTATAAATAAAGGGTATTATCGCCCTATTATTTAACCTAAATAACGCTTTAAGCGAAGTCCTAGGCTACTTATTAAATAAACTGCTCTACGGCGTCTAAACTAATAGCCCCCTTAATATAATTAGAGATACTAACCCGGAATTCGTCTAAGAACTATGTTAGGAAGACTCTAAACTATCTATCGCCTTAGCCTAGATATATAAAACGACTATACGATAAGAAATACCGTAGTATTCGGTTCGCCCCGGGGGATTTTATCTTCGTAAAGCTCGGGTAAAGATACTTATTACCCGGAAAGCTATCTATTAAACTCGGTTAGTAACGAATAGGCCTATTTAAGGTTAAGGAGTAAGTCTTACCTCTAATATACCGTTTAGATCTACCCGTTATACTTAACGTCTACCCCGTTATTAGTATTACCTACCTTTAGCTAGCACGGGAACCGGGATTAGACTTATTGCCGGGTTAGGAAATCGATAGTAATCCGGTTCACGCCGGTAGCCCGGACGATAATAGGCATAAATAATAAGACCTATGTAAGCACTACGAGATCGACATTATCCTAGATAAAAGGGTTACCCGGAAGGGGCGAGGTAAGCCTTATACCGAGTACCTAATTCGGTAGAAAGAATACCTAAGTTATTAAAATATATAGATACTAAAAGAAACGATAGACGTACCGGAAATACTCGAAGCCTTTAAGGCACGATAAAGGGCTTTAGAGACACTACGAGCTACGGTAAAGGGAATGACACTAAATAAAAACCTTAAGCTAGGGGATATTAAAGAAATAGATAGAATATAGACTACTCGAGGTAAAGAACCTTTAAGGGACTTTAATATAGCCTTATAGCTTTATTAGGTATTAAATAAGGGACTCGAGTTAACTAAGGTAACTAAGCGTTATTTACGTATAGCGAACGGCCCTAAACTCGGGTAAGGGAAAGTATAACTGGTATTATCTAATCTCCGGATAATAGGTATATAAAAGGAAAATAGAGCGGACTAATAAAAATAACACCAACCGCGATATTTTACTAGATTAGCCCGCTTCCTTAACTGAATATAAAATTCTTTTCACACCTAATATCCTAGCCGGCCTTCCCTTATCCTTTACTATCGCGAATAAGCTAGGCCGTATCGTGTTTTCCTAACTTATTTATATAATAACGATCGCCCTTAGTTTAAGTGTTATCTCTCTCTTTATCCTTTTATACTACTATATATATACCTTTTTCTTCTTTCCTATCTATCTCCCTTTATTTATAGCTAGTATATCTCTATACTATATCGTAGAATACCTATCCGATATACCCTAATCCAAAGACCACGAGTTCTAGCAGGAATTCTTAAGGTTCTTTACGAAAGGAAAGTCGGGCGCGGGCCTTATATTCAACGGCTATTTTAGAGCTTTTACTCTATTTAATAATAAAAGCCATATTATTACTAGACTATAATCTACTAGTTTAGTATGTAATTAGTAGCGCTAGGATAATAAGAGCACGGTCGTAAGATACCGTTAAGAAGCTATTAACACCGGGTATAATAACCCCCTTAACCGTTAACTCCGCTATATAGTATTCGCTCTAGTAGAGGAAGCGGAGCGTACCGTCGCTATTGATATCGTATAGTAAATCGTTACTTTATACCCCTAGCCGTAGTTTCTACTAGATAATAATATCGATATCGCTAATTAGCCTTAGTATTCCTAAATATTTAAGCAGTGTCTTACTATAGCTTATTATAACGCTCCTAAGGCCGCTAATAGCCAGTTTCTCCCTAATCCCTTTTCTCGTTACCCGCCTAAGTACTACTATTACCCTTTTAGGCTCCCTATTACCGTGCAGTAGTACCGTTATCGCTATATAGATACTAGCCGCTAGCACGCCCCCTTTATATCTACGCGACGCTATAGTACCTGCTTATATCCTTTAAACGGTTTATAAACTAATATCGCTAAGCCTAAAACTAACTAACTTGTTAGGCCGGTTATAGAATAACGATATAGCGGCGCTAACTTCCTTAATAAAACGGGCGATTACCCGGCTAGTATTAAGCTATAGGTAGCTAAGATCCAAAACTTCCTATAACCGTTATAGATAATCCCGGCGCTAATTATCTATAGCGTAGCCGATATTCTTACCGGCCTAGGATTAGATAGTCCGGTACCCACCTTTACTAGTATACTAATACCTATCGCGAGTATTAAACGCCCTTACTAGGACTATATAATGTCGCTATTAGCGAAACGTATACTCTCCCGCTTAAGCCAGGAAATTCTCTATACCTAAGCCGCGAAGAGTTTCGCGTCTAACTTAAACGACCTATGCTAGTTAGTGTATTATAGCGAACTTATGCACGGCGATTAGACGTTTAATAAGATTAAATAGCGATCCCGCGCCGCTATATTACTACTCCTTATCGCTATTTAGGCGGCGGCCTTCCTTAATAATTACGTAGTTAATTATAACGTATAGAACACGGCCGAGCTAAACCTATTTATAGGGTTCTAGTATATAGATAAACTAATACACCTAGCTAAACTAGACGCGCTCGGTATACTAGAGAATATTAAGCGAGAATACTTAGCTAGCCACTATATAAGCGATATAGACTTAGCTAAGATAGTTATTTGACAGATAGGGGTTATAGCTTATTATTACGATACCTATAGAACGAAAGGCGTATTAGTCTCCTACGAAATCTCCTAGTAAGCCGTTAAGGGATAAGTAGCTAGCCTTATAGAGGATAATATAGCTATTATTCTCCGGCGCGAGATCTTATACTAGGGCTTCCCCGATACTAACCCGTAACCTCCCGAGGTTATAAAGATCTAGGCTATAGAGATCGGGAATTAGGGGACGGTTCATATCGTGTTAGCTTAATTAGGTATTATAGTTTCGTCTATAGCTTAAGATACGCCGTATAAATATAGTTTAGGTATTAGGATTTAGTGTATTAATTTAGTATAAATACTTAGGTATAGGCGTAGGAACGGGCTATGGGAAACGGCCGGTTAGTTACTCTGTTTTCTTTATTTTACTTTCCTCGGTACTCGCCGTTTACTCCTTATCGCCGCCTAGCGATTTTCCTTCCCTTATTTATACCCTATTATACAGAGTAGAGATTGGCGTAGTTAGTGTAATATATTATATTAATATAACCATTATTTTCTTTCTATCGTGAGTATTATCGCCGTATATAGTTACTAAGTTATAACCGGGCGGCGCCGCCTTCTTAAATCGTAGGAGTCTACGCCCCTCGCGTTATTAAATCCGCGTCGGTTAACGCCCGCGGAACGTAAGGCTTTTATCGCCCGGACTATATAATACGCCTTTAGTAAGGATAGCGTAAGCACTATTCGCTTAGCTATAAAGCGAATAGTGCGGGTATTATTCGCGCGGATAAAGGACGTATACCTCCGGTATTATCCGTACAGATAAGAAATATATAGCGCCCGAACTACGCGCGGGAATAGCGTGGTATAGATACTCGGGCTATAGTTACACCGGACCGGCTAAGGGATATATCCTCGACGCGGTTCCCCCTTAGTTTCGTAGAAGATATCTTTATTCTACCCTATTTACTATAGTAAAGGTCGCCCTTTTAAACCCTAGAAGCCCTAGGTCTAATAGTACTGGCTGGCTAGGGATTTGCCTGGATAGGGTATATTAACGGTTATACTATAGTGTGGTTACTTCCTTAACTAGCTTAATAGCCTATTCGATTATACTCCTATTAGCTAATAGGCCCTAAATTACTACCTTAATATACCTATCCTCAGGCTAAGGGGCTATAGTAGTCCCCTTTTAATTTAATATCGGTTCTATATAGCGCCCTACCCTAAAAAGGGGGTAGTGTTTATTCTACGAAAAGTAGGTCCGCCGAAAATTATATAAGGTTAAGGGTTAGGATAATACTATTTATTATATTTTCCTGTTTTACTATAGTGCTAGTATTATAGTGCCTTTATAATAGTATTCTAGGAGGGAGGCGGTAGTTATAATCGTGATCCTAGTACTTATATTACTTTTACTTATATTATGAGCTAGTATTATTAAGGAAATAACTATCCGTTATATAAGTTCTAATACCTGCTATATAAAACCCACTCTTTAGTATGGCTATAAAGTTAGGCTTAAGCGTATAAAGTATCGTACCTAATTTATATAAAGAGATTAGCCCACTTTAGATAAGTGTTATCTATCTAGGTGTTAACTACTTTAGAATAGCGTTAACTATCTAAGAATACGAATATCCTAATTGTTTTTGCCTATAGCTTATTAAGTGTATCGATTAATAAGATAGATATTACTTATATAAAGTAGACTAATCTCTATATATAATTAGGTGCTATACTTTATATACTTAAGCTTAAATTCATAGCCCCACTATAAAGTGGTTTTTTATAGCAGGTACTAGAACTTATATAACGGATAGTTCTTCCTATTATTAATTATAGTAAATTTTATATAAAAGTATACTAAATAATATATATAGTATATTTCTAAGGATAAAGCTAACTAAGTTAATAAGATAGGATAGGATAGGCTTTCTATTCTAGAGCAGCTTAGATAACCTACCCCTTAAGGCCTAGGTAATACTAAGACTCCGGCTCTAGAGCTAGTAATTCCGCGTAGTCGTCGATAGAGGCGAACGTTGGTAGGCTCTTAAGCTTCCTCGTAGATAGTGATCCAGTATCTTCAGCAGCCCTTCTGGTCTCGGCTTCCGGGCTCTTACTGAAGGTGCGATTTATCTCTTTGAAGTCATTTCCATCTGCACTATCATCGCTCTCATTGACGTCCTGAACCCCAGTGCCTTCTCCGAGAGAGTTCCGCGATTGATCTGCATCGCTGTCATCGTCGTAGTCCCAAACATCCAAATCGAGATCTGAATCGTCGACTTCATCCATACGGTGGTCAGGCTGAGAGGAGGCCAACGCCTTCCACACCTCCTCATCGTTGTCCGATTCGCTTTGTGACTCGATATGGGTTGTGAAACTGGTCCGCGTACGTTTGCCAACTTGCTGGAAGTAGTGATGGAAGAAAATGTCTTCGACAGCGACTCGATCAATCGTTTTGTCCCAGAAGGCGGGATTGTTCACGGTTGTACCAGTGGCATGAGATAATTTATTGATCACACCACCAGAGCCGGAAAGAGGCTGCATAATCGAGACCCCGCGCGTAGATTCCGTGTTCTTGGGATTGCGGTACACGAACTTATCCAAAAACCGGATGAGACTATGGCTTTCCATATCAGGTGTGGCGCTTGCCTCTTGATTTGAGAGGACATTAGATGCAGCGAAGGAAACCGATGGGTGGAAATGGTCAAGGAACGGAATCTGTTATTGCCAAGTTAGTAAGTGCCACGGCCTAAGAAGCGGAACCGAGTCTTACAAGCTCCCAGAGACAAGTGTATTGTGAATTGCTGTGTTCCGGGTCTCGCTTTCGGCCGTCATAGGAGCGCGAGCTCCTTTCAGCCTGACGATGCATAATTGGATGTCGTGGAGCAGCTTGTTCAATCCCGACATCCTCCTCCGGTTCTTCGAAGAGCGTTCTAATGTCGGGGAACTGGCACCGTAGCTGCAAAATGATATAAAGGATCCCGCAAGCAAACGGAGCTTGGTGTAGGCCGAGAATCTGAGTCATCCTCTTCATGAAAGCCTTGACGCGACGGCTATCTACATCGGCTTTCAAGGAGCGAAGTACAAGATTGAGGTAGAGAGATTTTTTCGACGATGTCATGAGTCGCGGGTCCAAAAGAGATTCATACAGAGTTCGGTAGAACCTGTCATAGGCAACATGTCTTCGGAGAGACAACTGTTGGATAAGAATCAGTGCTTGGACACTTGTGTTGAAGTTACTCGAATGGGCGATCTGAAATAATGTGTCCACATGGGCGTCGAGGCTGTATCACTTCCCAATCAGCATCGTATCAGAGCCAGTCTCGGTCATACTTACATAGGGTTATCATCGGCCACGAAAGGGACGGCGCGGTTAATCCCCGTCAGGACAGCGGACACAAGTTTCTCAGCAGTCTCATGTTCAGCGTTAGTACGGGTAGCTGCCTCTTTGTTGGTCTTTTCCATGTGGTAGTCGCTAGGCAGACCAAACCCAACCATTGGCTTTTTCAATAACACAATGAAAACCTCGAAATAGATTGCCAACAGTGTCTCAGCAGTCTTAGGATCACGATTGCTCAGTATTGTTTGATTGAGGGTGCTGACGGCGTTATACTTGGCTCGCGAGTTTTGGCCGGGACGTAGCAAAATCTGTTGCTCGATGGTTTTGACAAGAATCAACTTCATCGCAGGATGTGTGTTCTGCAATTGTAGGAGGAGGTACGATGCTTTGGAGGATATTTTTCGGTCTTTGTCCTCAAGCTTGCTGACAAGCAGTGTCAGCAGATTCGTCTCTTGTTCCGGCTTCTCCTTCAACAAACAGTAGACGAAATCGAGGGATTTCATCCGAGAGTGTTCGATTTCATCGTTGCACCAGACCTCAAGCAGTTGGACGATCTTGAAATACGCGGACTTCATCCAGTCCTCGTATGCCCAAACAACCAAGTGGGCCTCGGACAAGCCAACTGGGAGGTTTTCACTAGCAGCCCATTGGTGAATGCGATGCTTCTGAAGAACACCGAGTAACCCACGCTGCGACTCGAATTTCCGCAGTCGTCTGTTTGGTGGAAGGATAAACCCTGGGCCAAGCAAATCAACGAGGGCTCCAAGGGCTTCGAGGGCTTGTCCACGATTTCTCTTCGAAGCCAGACCCATTAGTGCTTCCAATGCTTTAAAGTTATGGACAGGGGACTCTTGTATCGCTAGCGTAAGGGCCGACACTTTATCGGACACGGTCCCGGAAGCCATGATAGTGGAGAGAAACTTGTGTGAAGTCGACACGAGGACACTTTTCCTGTAGACTTCAGAGTCGGCTTCAAGCAGACTCCACGCATGCGAGTGGAGATTGCCAATAGCGTTGCTAAAGGGGTGAACAAGCTCCGACTGAGGTTCAACCATGGGCTGCAATTCAGCCCGGTGCCAATCAGGTCTGGGTGCAAATATCTAAGAGTAAACTCTTATTAGCCAGCTACCGACACATCCAGGGAGAGGAGGTTAAAGCTTACGAATTGAGTCTTGGGGCTTTTCATACTTGAACTTGAGGCGAGATCTTGGAGGGCCTGTTGCAAAACATGGTCTTCGTGGCTCTGGTGATATTGAAGATCGTCGGTTGTCGAGTTGGAAACTACGTTTGCAATTAGTCAAAATGAGCCTTATTGTATAAAACCCAGAGCTTTGACTCCGTAAAACATATGGTATTCAGACCAGTTGCAATTGAACGGCTGGCACGGTTCGTCAGGTCCTGTCGTTTGTCTCGGGGTGAGGTTCCGTTTGAAATCTTTCGTTTTGACGTCCGTCGGATTTCCTTGTCGTCGTTGACGTTGTGGTTCTTGCGCTTCCTTGATAAACGTCCATTGGCTGCTTCGAGGCTAGAGGAAACGGCCGACGTTTTGAGCTGCGCGGGCATGGTGGCTGCTTGGAGAGAGAGGGATCTACAACCAGAGAACCTGAAGTTTCGTGATCAATTGTGGACTTGAACGTGCTTGAGGGACTCGTCTGAAGCAGCTGTGGTGGCTTTCCACTTACTGGTAGGTAACTGGGAAAAAAAAAAGGGGGGGGGGGAATCAATGCGGAGACCTCACGTTTCGATGTCGAGACCTCACACGTGACGCTTTCGTGGGACCATGACTCCACCGCCAAGCTGCATAGGTCGTTGACCAGAGCGTAGGGTTTATTACGGTTACGTATCGGGTGTCAAATACAGCGTAACTATCAGAACACAAATAAGGTACGCGGAAGTATGTGTATATTCATCTTAAGTGAAGTTTGTGATACTTTATGGGGATGTCTAACTATACGGAAAAAGCAGGGGAAATAAGGGTGGATATATAGGACCGAGGTACTCTACACGTCTAATATAATATACTTTATTATACCTCGATAAGGTGGCTATAGTATCTAATATACCCCCCTAGAATAGTAGGGTTAATCCTAACTATTCTGCTCGTTAAATTAATGCTTAAAATCTAGGGTAAATTAGGCCTAAATATTAATTAACGGCGTTATAGGCATTAAAGCTAAAAAGCAGTTAAAAAGCATTAAAAAACAGTACCTAAATAATAGTCTATAGGGTATAAAAACACTTAAAATAACGGTCTAATTAACCGTTTTCCTTTAATTAAAACGTAATAGAAGATTGTTGTCTCTGTTAATTACTTTAATTCTATTTCGGCGGGACCTCTATACTAAGTAGATATATAAACGCCCTGTATTTCTACGGGGGTAGTATCTTTAAAAGGCTATCGCTAACTATATTATTAGTAGCGATCTACTTAATCGCGACGGTCCCCTCTTTAACGGTTTATCGGATCTAAAGGGCGTGGATGTCGAGATACTTTAATTTCGAGGTAACCTTAGGCCTAACGGATTCTAGTAGTTATTTAGGTTATTGATTATCGTAGTATATTATTAGTGGTTCCTCCTTAAACGATAATGTTAGGTCCTTTATTAAACGCCTTATCGCGATATACTGCCTAATAGTCATAGAAAGTGTAATAAGCTCGGCTTTAGTATTAGAGGTCACGACGCTTATTTACTTATTAGCCTTCTAGTCTATAGGACCCCCGAATAATAATATAGTATTGCCTTAGAAGCTATACCGTGTCTTATAGTCGTTAGCGAAAGCGGCGTTAGAAGTATAAGAGAGTATAGGGTGTTAGTGGTCTTTACGTGGTCCGAAGTAAAGGTATAGTGTTTTTATTAGACCGACATACTTTAAATACCTATCTACGGTATCGTGATACTATTTTAACGGGTTAGTGCTAAATTCGGTAAGGCTCGAAGCGGCTTTAGAGATATTAGGCCGGGTCTAATAGGTAGCGTAGTTAATAGAACCGACCTTCCGAAGATATAGATAGATTAACTTTTCGGAGGCTTATTAGTCGGTGGAGGGTTCTAAGATATTAGGATAAGGAAAAGGGCTTTTAACCCTATAATCTCTATAATCCACTTATAACGCCTTTATCTTATGGGTATTATAGGTATTAAGCGATAACTATAGCTTATGTTATTAACGATCGTGTCCTACACGGATTTTAAGGAACCACTTAATTAGTCTTAGATCCCTGATTTAGAAGCTCTTTTATATTTACTATACTAGGTTATTAGTAATAGATTAATATTCCTTGTAGTAGATTAGGATAATATCGTTAAGGTAAAAGAAAGTAATTAGGACCTTATTCTTAAAGATATAATTGTCTTCGGTTAATTACTTTAAACCTTATTTACTTAGTACGGAAGAGAGTTATTAGTGCTATAGCTTTAGGGAATACCGTAGGCCATATAACGCCCGGCGTAGCCGTTAAATCCCTCTACGTTATATAGGGATATATATAGATTACTTTAAAATGTCCTCGAGCTTTTTATAGGCTTTAAGGCCCGTAGCCGACTAGAGTAACTGCTAACTAGGGGGGGGTCCTTAATATAGATCTCTTCGTTAAGCAGGGTATTAATGAATATGTTAACGGCGTTAAGTTACCGAGTCTTAAGATTAAAGTGGTCTATAATACCTATTAGCGACCTAAAGGTCCTTCTAGCGAGAGTAGAGACGTAGGCGTTAAGGTCGTTATTAGGTTATTAATCCCCTTAAATATAAAGACGTGCCTTAAACTTATTAATATAGTCTATAGGATTAACCTTATACTTAAAAACCTATTTAAGGTTTAGTGGACCTTAGAACTGATTTATATAGTCCCGAGCCGTGCCCCTGCTAGTAGGACTATTCCTACCGTTTAAAGGTGCCTATTAATCTAAGCGTGCCGACCTCCTATAAAGCGGCCTTAATGTATTTTAATTTATAGGGACTCTTTAGTATTTAAGACTAGGTTAGAGGTTCCTTAGGTATATCGCGGCGTAGTAACGGCTTCTTCGGTATCTTAATCTAATTATAGAAGCTATAAAAGGAAAGAGGGGCATATCTGTTAGTTAGACGCCTACTACACGCAGGCCTATCGGCAGCGGCCGTTAGAACAACAGGAGGGCGGTTTCTTCTGCTTGTAAAAGTAGGTTAGTTAGTTATAGTAGTGGAAAAAGAGGTCTAAGGAGACTTAGCCGTAATAGGAGCCGTAAATACCGGATTAACGGTAGTGGTTGTGGTTAGTTCCTTGTTAAGAACCGATTGGTTGGGGGATAATAATCCCATTTCGACGGTACCGCCGGTTATGGCAGTATTATCACGATCTTCGGTATTATTGCCTTTATTAGATTATTTAAAAATAGGCGGTATATCCGTAGTTCTAGTTAGTGGTATAGGAGGGCTGTTTATAGTTATTAGAGGAGGGAAAATAGGTGCTGTTATTAGAGAAGGGAAAATAGGTGCCGTTAGAGGTATAATTATAGGTGTAATTATAGAAAACGTTAAAGCAGGTGCCGCCGGAGGCGTAGAAGGCGTTATAGGGCTTATTTGCCCTGTTCTACGTGCCTTCTATGCCTCCTGATTAGGTTAATCTCCCTGCTATTATTCTTCTACAGATTCTGTAGTGGTTAGTAAACCTATATCTCTATCTACCCCCTTAGAAGTAACGGTAGTAATAGCGGTAATAGCCGTAGTGGCCATAGCAGTGGCAGCCTCCGCTATTACCTCCTTTATAGTATTCTGCTCTAGTAGCATGTTAAATAGGTAGTCGCGAGGAGTGAAAAGGTAGGGTCAAGCAAGGAACCAGGTAGGGTCACGATAGGATCACGATAGGGAAAGTATAGGGGTAGCCAAAGAATCAGATTAATCGCTAGCCTCCCCCTTTAAAGGGGAGGCTCCCTCGCTCCTTAAGGCTATGCTCTACTCCTCGAGGACTACTTATTTACTTCCTCGAGGGCTAACTTATTTACTTCGAGGGACTATTCTATTTACTATATAATAACTTACTTTATTTATACCTTAAGAGGTCTTAGACTAGGCACACCTAGACCCCTATAGGTTTATACTAGGGACCCATTATAACCACTGCTATAGGCACCTAATAGAGCGACCTCCCCCGGATACTCCTATCCTCTGGAGCGCCCGATCCGTGCCGGCCTCTCGACACCTCCGAAAACCCAGCCTCCGAGTCCATCTCCAAATTCCCCGTTTAGTTCCCCGAGACGGAGAGCCTCGACCTGAAATAATTTTCGAGTTCGTCGGGTACGTTCCGCTTCGGCTCCTAGGTATTCTCCTCGTCGCTATAGCGGGCCTATTTAATCAGGTACTAGCGCCGTTTACTCTAATATCGATAGTCCAGGATAACTTCGACCTCGTACTTATCCGAATCCGGTTCGATATCGACCACGGGTAAAAGTTCCGGCTATAACCTATCACGGGGCCTCTATAATTCTAGTAGAGAAACCGGAAAGACATTATAAATCCTTATACCCTTCGGCAGTCCTAGTTAGTAGGCCAGGCTATATATACCTATAATCTTAGTTACCTTATACGGACCAATAAACTTATCGCTGAGCTTTTTCGAGGGTCTCTTCTATCGGATATTCTTCGTGGATAGTAAGACGTACTCGCCCACCTTAAAGGAGCGCTAGACACGGCCGTTATTATAATACCGCTCGTAGGAGGCCTAGGCTCTGTTAATAAGATCCGAAATAAACTAACGTTAGGCTATAAGGTATTCCACTCGCTGCTTAGCCTTAGCAGCACGAACCTCGCCTGCCCTAGGCAGTTATACCTTATTAGGTCCCCTTAGGTTATAGCCTATCAGGGCATCGGATAGGGTATAACGTATCGTAGAGTGGTACGCCGTATTATGGGTAAACTCTGCTAACGGTAGTCGGTTAACCCAGTTATCCTATTCCTATAAGCAGAACATATATAGATAGTATTCGAGGTTCTAGTTTTACCACTCTATCTATCCGTTAGTTTATAGATACCACGCTATAGATAGGCGTTATATAGTACTAAGGCAGCGATATAAAGTTACCTGAAAACGGCTTATAAATAACGAGCCTCTCTCTAATATAATGCCGTTAGCTAGGCCGAAAGTGCGAAAAACGTGATACTATAGAGACTTAGTAAGTCCTTCTACGATTAGGCCACTACTCGGGGGAATATAAATTAAGTACTTCGTTAGATAGCATACTACTATAAGGATAATATCCCTTTTACGGCCTAGACTATAGATTAGCGGCAGCCCCATAATAAAGTTAATAGATATCTCTATAAAGGGACGCTAAGGTACTAGAAGACTCGCCAGTTCGCTATATAGCTTATAGTGCCGCGGCTTAATACGCTAACAGATAGCATAGGTAGGTATAAACTGCCGGACATCCCTAGGCAAATAATCCTAGAAGTAAAAGTCCGAAATCCTCTTAATAGTCCTTATAACCCTATAGTAACCCACGCTAGGTCTATTATAAAAACACTATAGGACCTTTTAATGGAGGCCATAGTAGTCTAGTATAAAAACGCGATTCTTAAAATAAAGGATATCACCACTCCTAGACTAGTATCCGTATATAGTATCGTCACCGTGGCTTTCACGCTATCTAGTATAAAAAGGGTTATCCGCTTACGCCTCTACCACCTCTTCTAGTAAAGTAGGGGAATTAAGAGCGGGAAAAACAGGGTTAGACTCGGGGGCACTACGGGAACCACGCTAGTTCCCGATAAGGCTTAAAACAAAATACCTCGGTATAGGCTCTAAAAAAATATTATCCGCTTACGTCTTGACCACCTTTTCCGGTAAAATAGGAGTAGCGAGAATAGCGCGGGTACTATACTAAGTCCCATATAGGCCTAAGGCAGAACGCTTTAAAGACAGGTTATCTGCTTATATCTCTACTACCTTCGGCAAGATAGGAGGAGCGCGAAATTCAGAACAGGGGCTATTATGGGAACTATCCTGGTTCCCAATACAGCCCAAAATAAGACGCCTCGATAAAGGCTCTAAAAGGAGATTATCCGCCTACACCTCTACCACCTTCGGCAAAGGGGAGTCAAGAGCGGGAATAAAACCTAAGGCAGCACGGGAACCACGCTAGTTCCCGATATAGTCTATAAAACGCTTAGAAAAGACTCTACCGCCTTAGCCCGGTCAGTAACCAGGGCACGCTCACAGGGCGCGTGCTAGGGCTTTCTTAACAGCCTATCCGCCGGGTTTAACGTCTCTGGGCGGTACCGAATCTCAAAATCAAACAGGGCAAGCTCCTTAAGCCACTATATATACTAGCCCTTAAGCTTCGGCTTATCTAGCAGATAACGATAGTTTAGGTAGTCTATCATGACTACTATAGGGCTCTAACTATAGGCTATATAATAGCGCTACGTCCGAAAAGACTTAATAATAGCTATAAGCTTAGAATCGGGTATACTATAATTAAGCTCGGCGCTACGTAGCTTACGGGATATAAACGCGATAGGTCTCTATAGCCTATCCTCGAGCTGACTAATAACGGCCCTAATTATAAAAGCAGAGGCGTCGGGTTTAATATGTATTAATAGGGCGGGATTAAAATACCGCAGGACTAATACCTTCTAGAATAGCAGTTTTATTTCCTCGAACACGGTCTAGGCCTGCTAGGAAAGCACGAGGACCCCTACGTAGCCCCCTTTCAAATAGTCTATAAAAGGGGCGGCGACCTTAGAGTAGTTCCGAATAAAACGTCTATAAAACCCTGTAAAACCTAGGAAGACCTATATCTTCTTAACACTATTAGGGAGTTCCTAGTCGCGGATTACCTTAACGCGAGCCGGATCTATCCGTACCCCGTCTAGGCTATAGATAAACCCCAGGAATTTAATATCGCGGGTCTTAAACTTATACTTATCGGGGTTAGTATACAAAGACTATTACCTAAGCCTTATAAGGACCTCGCGGATATATACGCGGTGGGTAACTAGATCCTTACTATAGATAAGAATATTGTTAAGATAGACTACGTAGATAGTATTTATAAGACCTATTAGCGCCTAGTTAATATACCGCTAAAAGCTCGTGGGCATGTTAGTTAACCCGAATAGTATAATAAGGTACTCGTAATAGCCGTATTTTGTGCGGCACGCCGTCTTCCACTTATCGCCCTCTTAAATCCGTAACCGATAGTATATATCCTTAAGATCCAGCTTAGTATAGTACTACACCGATAATAACCAATTCAGATTTCGTGAATAAGGGGGAGGGGGGTACGATCCTTAACGGTCACCTTATTCAATCCCCGGTAGTCGATATATAAGCGTAGCTTACCACCCTTTTTAGAAATAAATAGAATAGGGGCGCCGGCCGGACTAGTAGATAGCCTAACCTATCCTTTCGCAACGGTATCCTATAGATACCAACACAGCACTTCTAATTCCTACGCGGCGAGGGGGTAGATAGGGCCGTAGGGGGGCTTTTTCCCTTCCTTAATCTTAATAGTATAGTCCCACTACTAGTGCGTTAGCAGCCTCCCGGCGTTTTCGATATTAAAAACGTTAGCGAAATCTTAATACTATTTCGGTAACGTAGTGGCAGCGGGGTCCCGGTCTAGGCCGGGGTAGGCCCCGTCTAGGCTGGGATAGGCCCCGTTTTCTAAGAATTTATCTCTATATCCTACTAAAGGGTTTTGTATTAGGCCGACGTGGCCGATACGTAGGCCCCGTGTAGAACCTATATAGGTTAGAGTAAGGATAGACTTAGCTTATCTGACTACCCTATATAGCTCTTTTAGCGATATAACTATACCTAGTTCCGCGTAGGATAAGGGATAGATCTATATACTATACTACTAATTAACGTTAGGGTTAACGGCTATAAGCCACGGCCTCCCTAAGATAATCTTTACGCCCGTGAGGTTTATAACGTGGAACTCGGCGTATTATACCCTCTTCTAACCCTATATCGTATACTCCTCCATGATAGATTACATTAAGGGTAGGTCTTTCTCCTCTAACCGTAGGAGCTCTATAAAGCGTGCCTTTAACTATTCCGGTACTACGCTCCTAATAGCGTTAAAGAAGCTGTTAATCTAATCTTCCTTAGTATCGTAGGCACGAACTTCGTATATCTCGGTATCGCGGTATAGCTTAATAAAGTCTTCTAGCTAGCGCTTATAGGGTATACGCCTAATATTCTAGAGGTATTCGTCCTAGTGTCTCTTAGTTAGTGACTGCTAGGCGGCGTTTATCGGCTTAAGGTGCATCTTGAGGGCTTTTAATATATTCCTTACTTCTTTTAGCCGGCGTACTAATCCTTTAAAGTAAGGCTAACCGTTTTAGCGATATAATCGTATAAGGCTGAGATTTCCCTCTTTTTAGCCTTATACCGATCCTCTTCTACCTACTAGATCTTAAATAGTATATTATAATTAAAGGCGTTATATTTTTTGGCTATAATAAGAGGTTATAGTAGATCGGTTCGAATATAGCGCTTAGGCTATTTAGCTTTATTAAGGTCGGGATTAATAAGGTCGGCGATATCGTGGGAATACGTGATAGTTATCACGGCTTTAATCTAAGGCCTTTAGTCTTTCGGAGTAGTAAGCGTTATAAGGCCTATAATAGGTGCTATTCCCGTAGAAGCTATCGTTATACTAATAAAAAAAGTAGTGGAATAGATATACGAATAGGTTAATTAACTATACTAAATACTTTAAATAATAATACGATTCAAATAATAGAATGATTAAATATAATCTAAAGCAGGCGGATATTACTTATAATACTAAACTACCCGCTATAGACTTAAGGCTAATTTTAATAGCCTAGAAGCTATAGGATTATTCGGAATAGCTTTATTTATTAGAACGCCGGGCTTATAACTATCAGAATGTAAATAAGATACGCGGAATTATATATATATTTATCTAAGTGAAGATTATAATACTTTATAGGGATATCTAACTCTACGGAAAAACCAGGGGAAATAACTATAGATATATAGGATGAAGGTACTCCACACGTCTAACATAATATGGTTTATCACACCCCGATAAGGTGGGTGTGGCATCTAACATTAAACCTTTTTTATGACGATTTTGACTACGCTTTATCTGACACGCCCCACACCTACCCTCAGCTTAGCCCCCAAGTTCAACATCAGTCTCTCAGTAACCTTAACAAGGACTACACACACTTTCTCAGTTATGGCGGTTAAGTCACTTGCTGAGCTATGCGTACAAATATGTCAAAAGCACATCAACCAACTCACGAGCTTCGGCGATGGGGATGTGTTCGTCCCCCCCGGTTATGTCCGTGAGATTTTGCTCAGAGTCACGGACCCAACTCAGCTGCGCCAAATCGAGATCAACTCCCCATACATCGATACGGCTGATATCTGGAAACGCCTCATAAGCCGGGAATTTCCAGTCGAAAGTCGTGACAAGGACTACATTCCTCCCAAGCCGGCGCAGTGGTATGAAGTCTATGAGAAATATTCCAGCGAACGCCAGATTTCCCAAATGGAGGCCGAGGAGCAATTGCGTCGCCAGTTTCAAGGCCTCCAAGAACAGAAGGATTCCAGGGTCAGCAAGCTTGTCGATCAGCGCTTTTTGCCCCGGCCACCCAAAACTGGTCGCAGCATTGGGGGCCAGAACAGATCCTCGAAGGTTTTCTCGAGGGCATCGAGCTTTGGCGGTGGTGGAAGGTCTAAACTAAATAGCGGTGCTAGTGTTCTGAGGAGAGCTCGAAGGGAAGCGGCTGAGCATGCGCTGATGCGTGGTGTCCTTGCCACTCCGTCCAACACGCCGCCGACTGGGGCGGTAAAGATGATGCCGGCATACATCGTGGAAGGACGTCGCATGCTTTCACAGCCGTTTTTCAGACCCTATATCTCTCAGGACCGCCCATCTACACGGACTGCTTTCCGCGCAGGACGAAATGATCTAAAGAAACCTAGAAGCACTGGGCCGACCTACACATCATCTGCGACCGTACCAGGATTGCGTCACACCCATGCAGATACTCCTTGTAACGACGGACGCCAGCTGAGTGGTCAATCCGTCCAACAACGCAATCAGGTTTCTACCGAAAAATCTACAGGAAAACCGCCTCTCAAACCCGTTAGACGCCCGGGTCTTCTCTCCAATGCACCTAAGAACAAGGTCCCCATAGTTGCGAACAACTCGGATCAGCAACTTGCCCGTACGTCTAACTTCACATCGGTCTCTACTTTGACCCTCGCGGTACATAGTGAGAATTCCGCTCCCGGTGCGAGGCCACGCAAGACAACATCGGGCTCCTCCCTTCAGAGCCCTGAGCAGTCGCCAGGTTTCGGACCGCCAAGCGTCCCATCGAATTCCCCAGCTTCCGCCAAGTACTCTCCTGTAGTCTTAGCCAGGAAACGAAAACAGGTTGATATATTTATGCCAGCAAAGAAACGTCGACCCTCCTAAACATTTTCAAGGGAAGACGGGATCCGATCCCAACCCTTGAAGTGCCTGGCTGTATGCAAAACTATAAAGCAGCTGATATGGACATCGAGCTTCAAAACATGCATACCCTGGGTTGATCATTTGGATGGATATCATGAGCGTTGAGCAGAGCATTTGTTTGTTGTGGACAATGTATCCACCCGACTGTTATTAGGGCAACTTAAACACGATATCGAGGAAAAGTGTAGAGTGTTGGCTGACGATGGTCTCCTATGTGCGGCAGGGCTGAAGGAAGGATAGAATACAACACCGCTAATCCGATTTCTAATGATGTTGGTTTCACGGGATGGATAGTTGCAGGCAGACATGCAGCATGTCGATCATAGGCGCGCCAAAGTGGTCTCCTCGCCGACACGCAACGTACATATGTATCAGCACTGGTTGCAATGCTGGTGTCTGAGCCTGGCAAGTGATGCCACCGATCGAAGCTAGCAACACCGTATCCTCATGACCACGGCATGCTGGGACTATTGAGAGGCAGGATTCCGTCGTATGTGTAGAGAAATTAACAGACGTCGAGAGTGAAGCCACCCCGTAGGGCAAGGACTAGGTGCAGCGTCGCCCCCGCCTCAAGTCCATACTCAGATGCCGACTTGTCATCAACCCTGTGCACGAAATAACAATTCGTTAGCCAAGTTCTTGGAGGACGACGTGGTTAATACTTGGACATTCGGTTCTTCCCGGAAGCTAATAGCTCGAGAAGCACGCCATGAGATACGCACATTTGCTTACCGCCATAGATGAGTCGCTGCTGGACAGGGGGAATTCCCTCCTTCTCCTCTACTCTCTCCTTGATTTGCGATACCTAGGGGCCAGTTACTATGTCAGGTACGGGCAGCGGATCAGTCATCTTCTAGGGTATTGGTGGAACTTACCTTATACTCGTTCTCGATATCGAGCTCAATTTCCTTGCCCGTAAGCGTTCGGACTCTGGCGCATGAAGTAAGCAAATACACTCGTAAAAAACAGCGGCGAAATGGGCATACTTGATAAGCATTTCGTCGTGGATGATGATGTCAGGAGATTGGGTTGCTCGAGTGCAAGGGGCAGCAAGTAGTCGCAAGCTTACAGAGACGCGCTAAGAAACTGATTCCGGGTGCAACACTGGAGTGAGCCGTAAATCATAGAGAATAGAGACGCGATACACTGTAATAATTGCTGCGAGGCAAGTAAACCGAACTTGGAGAGGACGTCCGGGTGGAGCAGTAGGTTCATTAAAGGGTAGAGGGACGTGTCAGGTGAGACGGACCACCCCAAATAGCACGTCAATCACACTAAAAGAAAATGGGTACGCCTCGTATATCTTTAACTATAAACGAAATATTATAAAACCAAGATTTTGAATATATAATGATACTAACAGTATTACAAAACTTTAGTTTCTATTTACTAAAACTATAGGCTATAATTAGACCTAGATATATACAAGGCTAATTATAGGTTATTTATTTATTTATCTATACTATCCTATCTAATCTAATCCATAGGAGCCTATTTTAGGCTATATAGTCCTTCTCGGGTAGCTATAAAGGGGAAAATCTATAGGAACCCCGGAAAAGCATCTATACTCTTCCTTATATATAGTAGTGCTATTATAGAGCCGATATAGGCCCGGTTGATCTCTGCTATATATCTGGAATATACCTTTAGACTAATAGTATAACCGCGCAGATACGCTTCTAGTGCAAGGCTATGGCTGGTTATATAACCTGGAAAAAGGTAGTATGGTGGCACGGCCACTACCCACCTATATAAGAGGATAGTAGGTAGACGGTCCCTTGGTAGACTATATTATCTATTATTATTCTTTCTTAATATATCTTTTACTACAATTAAGGTACTAGTTTAGTTTAAGTTACGTTGCCCTAATTAGCTTAAGACTATTTATTCTATATCTTCCTCGAAGATTATAGTGTTATAGGTCCTTTTTTTTTATTTTTTTTATTACCCGCATACAGCCCTAAAGCTATAGCGCGGCGCCTATCACCCTAGAGGCTAAAGGCTATCAGAAGCTAGGTACAGTAAAATAAAGCGTACTAATAACTAAAGGAAATCCTCTATTATAATCTGTCTAATAAACCTAATAACTCTAATAGGTAAAAAACCAAAGCAAAATAACTAGACCGCAGGAATCGTGGTTTACGCCCTATACCACTCCGCCGAGGCTGTTTTAGTAGCTAAAAGATAGGCCTGTAAGGCCTATATTCCTCTTTTAGTACCGAATAATAGCGGCAGAGATAGCGGTAGGCCTACTAGGGCTTCCCGCAGGGCTCTTCGTTCGTTTGTATAAAAAAGGCAGGAAAGAATAAGGTATGCTATATCCTGTATAGGGGAGCCGGGATAGCAATAGCGGTCGTTAGGGCAGTTTTAGGCCCTTTTGTAGTGGGTTTTTAGGTGTCCGAAGCCGGGTTTTAACTACGTAAAAGCCGATTTTACCCACCTAGGGCCTTATATTAGTAGTAGTTTCCGGGAGAAATAGAGGTTATCGCGGACTAGGCGCTTATATAGACGGCCTAATTAAACTAATTTAGCTTTTCTTTCGGCTCCTCTTCGTTATTCTATAGGGTCTTTTAGTCTTAGATAAGGGCTTTATTTACCCTGCGTTTTAGGTGGCTAAGGGTAACTAAACTAACGGATTTAGTAGCTTTTTCGGGGTTTAACGCCCCTTTAGCGACTTTATCTGCTAGTTCGTTACCCTCTATCCCTATATACGAGGGGCACTACTAGACGGAAACCGAAGTACCTAGCTGTTTAAGGCATAAGATAAGGGCTTAAGCTTCTATAGCCCACTACGAAGTGCGCTAAAGCTCCTGTATAGCCGCCTATAAATCGCTAAAAATATAGTACTTTAGAGGCCTAGGTATCTGCTCTAGGGTAGCGTAGAGGTCTTAAAGAATAGCGTATAATTCAGCGTCCGCGACTTCGGCAGCGGCCCCTAGGTTAAAGCCTATAGACTTACCGGGCCTTCCAGTAATAGTCCACTATATTATAGCGGCTATAGCCTACGGAGGCCCTATAGGGGGCCTAGTAGGGTAGCCTAAAGAACCGTCGGTGTAGAAAATAGCAGCCTATTCCCCTAGGCTATATTATATCTTAGCGAGGGCTTCGAGGTAGGCTATTTTCTGATCAAGGGTTTCGGGGCCAGGGCCAGGGTCTTTAAGAGGGAAAAAGGGTCTTAGGTCCGCTATAGGTTCTAAGGCCTAGGGGGCCTCCTACCTAGCCGAAGGACCCTTAATATCCTAAGACTAACCTCCTAAAGGTACTGTTTCTAGGTCTAGCCTATAAAGCTATATAGTAGGCTATAGGGTCTGAAGAAGGGCGATATTTTCCTGGTTTCCGTCTCCTAGGCCCCTTTAAATGCTAGTAAGGAGCTAGTATTTAATACGGTGGTTGGGTAGAAGCTTTAAGGTCCTAAAGGCATATAGCCTATTACACCTAGTTAACCGGACCGCTACTAGGGGAACTACTGCTTCGAGTTCTAAAGGCCATAAGGGGGCCCCTCTAAAAGGCCCTGGGGCCCGGACTAAAGCGCCGTACTATAGTCGTTCTAGGCGGTCTACTAGGTGTTTTTTCGGTGATATAGGGTCTTACTAGAGCTATAAGCCAAAACCAGCTAAGGAGACTATACAGGCTATATATAACTGCCCTAGAGCCTTAAAGGAAAGGCCCCTGTATGAACAAGCTAGACAATATAGTCTATTTAGGGCCCCTGAAGCTGAGTTTAGGCGTTTTTCGACGTGGGGTTTAAAGGATAGCTTAGAATTAAACCAGACCCGTAACCACCTAATAGCACCTAGCGCCGGCTTTACGAAGTGCCCCCCTATAATACCTGGAGTATCTTCTTTAGAGCGTCTTCGATAGAAGTGAATAAGCTGTATTTTTTGAGGGCCGAAAAGGACTTAGTTATCTTTTACTACGTCGAAAAGGGAGGCCATAGCTTTTTCTAGGGTTGTATAGTTTGTCCTAGTTAACGTAGACGCTATAGATAGCTGAAAATCGTTAATATAGAATAGCTAAAGACCCTGGAAATCCGGTTCCGTTATTAACTAATTAGACTACCTCGATATACTAGCAGCACCTCTACGGTGTAAGGATAACTTATATTCTTACACGGGCGTTAGCTATTAGCGTATTAAAGATATATAGTATTAATACCTATAGTATTAGTATAAGCTTCGATATCGTCTAGATATAGTCCTAGGCGCCTACTATACCGTACGTAATTACTATATATTAGCCGCTATAATACTACTTCGATATTACTAGGGTATTCTTTTTATTTATTTATTTATTACGCGTATATAGCCCTAAAGCTATAGCGCGGCGCCCTTTGCCCTAAAGGCTAAAGACTAGAATAAGCTAATTATAGTAAGGAGCGGAGTAGTAATAAATAAAGGAAATCCTCCGTAATAGTCTGCCTACCATACCGAAAAACAGGTAAAAAAACCAAAACAGAAAACTAGACCGCAGGATCCGAGGTTTGCGCTCTATACCACTCTGCCGACGCTATTTTAGTAGCTAAAAGATAGGCTTCTCAGGCCTGTATACCTCTTTTAGTACCGAATAATAGCGGCAGAGGTAGTAGTAGGCCTGCTAGGGCTTCCCGCAGGGCTTTTCGTTCGCTTTTATAAAAAGGGCAGGAAAAGATAAGGTGGGCTGTATCCTGTATAGGGGAGCCGGGATAGGAATAGCGATTATTAGCGTAGTTTCGGGCCCTTTTTTAGTGGGTTTTTAGGTATCCGAAGCCGGTTTATAACAGAATAAAAGCCGACTTTATCCACCCAGGGCCCTGTGTCGGCAGCGGTCTTCGGGAAAAGCGAAGGTTATCTTGGACTAGGCGCTTATAAAGGCGGCCTAAACGGACCGATTTACCCTTTTTTTCCGACTCTTTCTCTTCGTTCTATAAAGCCTTTTAGTCTTGAATTAAGGCCTCGTTGACCCGGCGTTTTAAGTGGCTAAGGGTAACTAAGCTAACGGATTTAGTAGGCTTTTCAGGGTCTAATGCCTATTTAGCTACCGTATCTGCTAGTTCGTTCCCTTTTATCCTTATATACGAAGGGCACTACTATATAAAGACCGAAGTGCCCTGTTGTTTAAGACGTGAAATAAGAGTTTTTAGCCTCTATAGCCTACTACGAGGCTTACTAAAGCTTCTGAATAGCGGCTTGTGAATCGCTAAAAATATAGCACTTTAGTGTTTTAGGTAGCTGCAGGGTAGTATAAAGAGCCTAAAGAATAGCGTATAATTCAGCGTCCGCAACTTCGGTAGAAGTCCCTAAGTTAAAGCCTATAGCTTTATAGGGCCTATAGGTATTAGCCCACTATATTATAGCGGCTATAGCCTATAGAGGCCCTGTAGAAGGCCTTATAGGGTGGCCTAGGGAGCCGTCCGTGTAGAAAGTAAAGGCCTACTCGCCTAAGGATTATTGTATATCCTTAAGGGCTTCGAGGTAGGCTGTTTTTGGGTCTTGGGTGCCGGAGTCGGGGCTTTTCGCGGTTCTAGGCTGTTTCTTTAAAGGAGAAAAGGGCCTAAGGTCTGCTATAGGTTCTAAGGCCTAGGGGGCCTCCTACCTAGCTACCAGGCACTTTATTTCCCAGGACTACCCTACTAAAGCAGCTAATTCTAGGCCTAGCCTATAAAGCTAGGTAGTAGGCTATAGGTCTTATAAGCGGGCAAGGTCTACCCTTAGTTTTCCTAGAAGCTAGCGTCTAATAGAGTGGTTCAGTAAGAACTTTAAGGACCTAAAGACGTAAAGTCTATTAGACCTAGTTAACCGAATCGACTCTAGAGAGACTACTGCTTGTAGTTTTAGAGGCCGTAAGGGGGCCCCGCTAAAAGCCCCTAGAGCCCTGACTAGAGCGCCGTACTATAGGCGTTCTAGGCGGTCTACTAGGTGCTTTTTTAGTGATTTAGGGTCCTACTATACCTAAGAGCCGAAGTTAGTAAGCGAGGCTATACAGGCTATATATAGCTACTGTATAGCCTTACAAGAAAGGCCCCTCTACGAGCTAGCTAGTCTATATAGCCTGTTTAGGGCCCCTAAAGCTGAATTTAGGCGTTTTTTAACGTGGGGTTTAAAGGATAGTTTAGGGTTAACCTAGACCCCTAACCACCTAATAGCACCTAGTGCTGGTTTAACTAGGTACCCCCTTATAGTAACCGGGGCGTTTTCTATAAAGCGTTTTGGGTAGAAGTGAATAAGCTCTGTTTTTTC